GAGAGAGAGAGAGAGAGAGAGAGAGAGAGAGAGAGAGAGAGAGAGAGAGAGAGAGAGAGAGAGGTGCACAGGTTGGATACTGCCTTGTGGTAGGTAGGGCCCAATTCACTCCCCGTCTGTAAACGTTCTGTAACGTTTTCTTTTCTTTTCTTCTCTTTTCTTCTTCTTCTTCTTTTTTTTGTTCCTTTTTTTTTTGTGCCCGGATTTTTGTGGACGTCAGTCCGGCTGGACCTCATGCTCTGTCTGGGTCCGGGTCCGGGTCCGGGTCCGGGTCCGGGGTAACCATGATTTTAATCATAAATTTCAATGATTTCAGGATTCCACTGGGTGGTCGCAACAGCTCTTTGACTGAAGTGAATGAAGTGAAGAATACCTAAAACGGCAGTTTCGTCAAAACGGACATTTTTTCATTTCTTGAACGAAATTGAAAGGGACTAATTTGGCCCGAATCTGCCCAAGCCAGGTCAAAATTTTGACGAAATTGAGGGTCTGGTGTTCTTAAAATGCTGGACCCCCTGGCTGTATTTGGACTTTGCTGGAGTCCAGGGGGTCCAGCGTCTTAAGAACGCCGGACCCCCTGAACGTATCTGGACTTAGTTAGAGTCCAGGGAGTCCAGCGTTTTAAGAACAGAGGACCCTCAGTTTTGTCAAAATTTTGACCTCACTCTGGCGGATTCGGGCCAAATTAGTCCGTTTCAATTTCGTTCAAAAAACAAAAAAAAATGTCCGTACGAAAAGCTAAGCTTTACTATTTACGTTCTTCATTTGGAAAAAAAAGCAGATTACAACAGCTTTTTATCAAAGATTCTGCATAAATTATTAAGAAACTATGGCTTCTAGAGGGGTCCTCACAACTTTGTGGACCTCAGATCTATTTGTGGGTGTAGGTAAAATGGGCCCAGAAAAAGCAGAACCGGGTGAAGTGTCACCAGGGCCCACTGTCTTCATCCAAATGGAATGCCTTAACTTTCAGTCTAGACACAACAATAATGATCATGCCTTCCATTCGGGTAGCTAGATACCGATCAAGGTATGGACGTCAGCGGTCCCATCTCCTGGCTCTGACGTATTCTGACGCTGATGTATCTGTGACAGATCACGGTTCATTAACTCGAAGCCTAGACAAGAGAGCTGCTATGGCCTTTTCTGAGGCCTTGAGATTTCTGAAATCATCCTGGTGATCTGTAACCCTTAGTAAAAAGTCAACTTAGTAAAAAGTCAACTGCCTGTCTCTGCTATCAAGGCCTCAAGAAAGTCAACGGTTTGACTCTTTGCCCTGTGCCTCAGGAAAGTAGACTACCTGTCTCTCTTCTACCGCCCTCTGACAACAGTCAGCAGCTTTTCTCTTCTGCCTCCCGCATCGCATCTCCCTGCCTGGCCGTGTCATGCCCACATCTGGGCCCTTCGTTCGCAATGCATCCATGGGCATACTCACACCAGGACGGTTTCAGCTGATTTCAATTGCGGTCAGATACATGGAGAACGGGCCGTAATTGAGGTCAGATACACCCAGAAGAGTCCTAGTGTGAGTATATAATGTATATTTTAGTATTTTCTAAACCGTCCATTTGCCACTCCGGTCAACTTTGCAACCCAGGTAGGGCCTCGCTCAACTACACAACACTTTACATGCATTTGGACGCTTTCTGGACCGGATACATTCAAAATGTTGAACTCGTCCCAATGCACGTCCAGATGCATGTAGAGTGCTGTGTAGGTGGCTGCTGTTTGCTGGAGGATAGCTCTGCCTGGGAGGAAAGAGGGCAATCAGCTGTACTATCGTCTAACCCCAAACACAGTGCACCATCTTTTTTTTTTTTTTTTTTTTTTTTTGGACTGTATTGGGCCGGAAAGATGGTTGTATGCATTCATTATCAGGGTGCAGTATGTTCAGGTGGAAGAAGGTAGTAGCTATGATGAGGTTCAGTAGGCTGGGAGTCCGAGGAGTGGTACCCACCCTCTTTCAGAGCCATCCATTTGTCACGATGGTTGGATTGCAACAATTTGCAACAGCCATTGATTGCCCTCTGTTCATTTCAGTGACCGCTGACTTTTCAAGGTTGTGGGCCAACTCCCACTAGGCCTTTTTCGACTGAGCTCTGGACTTGATTGCGATCAGATACACCCAGGCCTGGCCCTAATTGCAGTCCGATACATTTCCCAAAGTGCTAGTGTGAGTATCCCCTCAGTCTCAATTTACCCTCAGCATCTCAACCTCTACCTTGTTTTGCTGACTTCAGGCGACTTGTAGCTACCGTCTTCACCTGGATAGAAACCCCGGTCGTTGTTGCTGTACCTGGACAGAAAATTGCACAAATACAGATGTACTGCCGGCCCATTCCGGTTCCTGCGTGTTCGGGATGCTGGCGAAATTCTTCTTGAACAGGCATTCTATTCGGGTGAAGACAATAGCTGAGGTAAGCAAACTAAAGGTAAGCTGCTTTGGAGAGCTGGCTCTTGACCCCCAAGAATGGCAGTGGCAAACGGCCCGGGGGGCAGCAGCCGCAACCAGTTAAAAGAGTCCATCTTAACACCCTATCTGTCAGGTCCATGTATGGGATGCTTAGACCCAAGAGAGTGTTAAAGGACCTAATTAATGACAGATGAACACAACACCTGAACGTGGATCGGTCCCTCCTTACGCCTATTAAGCGGTTTAATGGAAGCAAAGCGAGGCCGGCAAAAGTCACATCATTGCAATGGGCCAATGGCAGATCGCCCATCGCTGCCTGCCGACGAATGCCTTTCTGATTGACCATACCCACTTGGAACAAAAGGGGAAAGGGCTCCCGTGGTGCCACCAATGCTTGACCGCCTTTCCAGAGCAAAAAAGGAACGAAACTATTGAACACATCTTTATGCAGTGCCCAGTAGCCTTGTTGACATGGCGGTGGTGGGACCGCATCTGGAGAAAAATGGTACCGGACACCCCCTGGCCATGGTCGTGGCAGACCATATTAACAGGGCACTGCCCGGCAATGGAAAGTGCCCCCTTTCCCGCAAGCAGTATGTATACCTTGGGAAGACGGTCTGTCCTGTGGGCGCTTTGGTGACAGCGCTGCCTTCTAGTTTTGGACGGGGTAAAAATCGAGGGCCTGGAACTGACAGGACAGATAAGGGAGCTAGTGCAATTGGAGCTGATGCGTAGATGGAACAACCTTAAGCCACAATTAGATATTTTTCAGACAGATCGGGATATTAAACCACCAGTACCTCGCTCAGCTATTGAATCCGAGCCTCCCAGCACGCTGCGCGCCAAGTCCTGCCGAACCGCCGTCGCAATTTTCTTTTTCGTTTTGCCTGCGGCCTCCAGCCAATGCGGTCCGGCAGGCCGAAGCCCAAATGGCGCGGCGCGTATACGGGAAGCGCCGCGGCCGATAGCTGGGCCAGGTACTGGTGGTTTAAGAGGGCGATTACGGGGTTTTGCATGGAGTGGTTAGGTGGGCAACAGGGTGGATGGATTGCTCGAATTGAGTGGACAGGGGATCAGGTCGCTGCAACGGAAGAAAGAATCTTGAGAGATTACAGACTCGTTTTCAATGACTGGAACCACATTGACCCATCTTTCCCGATGAGGCCCCCGTCTGATTTACCGGACCCGTTTCCCCCCCACCCCCTCGCCCTGATGAAAGTTCTTACCTGACCAAGCTGCAAGATTGCGACAAGATTGGATCTGACGAGACTGAGATAAGCCCCCCCGGTGCCCCCCAGGTGATGCTAGTCAAACGATCTCCTGTTTCTTTCATAATTCACATTAAAGAAAAACAACAAAAAAAAAGAGTCACAATTGACATCATCTGCCCTTTTCATCTGTTTCCGTCCAGCGCAGCTTCCTTTGACAATGCACAACTCAAGTGTCATCTCAGCCGTGGTGACCATTGATCTGTCGGAACGTCCGGATTTCACCATCATCGTGCCTCCAGATTTGACGGGGCCGTCAACAACTGCCTCACAGTACAGTGACGGAACGATTGAACAAGTTTCGACCTCGTCGGCAAGCAGCAAGGGTTCCAGAGCAAGTGTGGTAAGTGGACATGAAATATTCCTAGGTCTGATTGGCTACTGATATCGCTGATTGATGTGATTGATGGATTCTTCTTCCTCTTAGCTGCCTGCTTTAGTTGCTTTGGTTGCTTTGGTTGCTTTGGTTGAATGATGGGTTGGTTGGTTGGTTGGTTGGTTGGTTGGTTGGTTGGTTGGTTGGTTGGTTGGGTGGGTGGGTGGGTGGGTGGGTGGGTGAATGGCTCCCTGGCATATCTTCCTTGGCTGCCGGATGCTGGGTTAGTCGTATCTGACTGGCTGATGAAGGCTGGGCAGGCCAGTGGGATGGGGTAGCTGGCTGCCATTTGGACCCCCTTGCCAAATGGCTGGGTGGGCAGCTGGTCGGGTGGCTGGCCAGTTGGCTCTCAATCCACGCAGCCAACCAGATTCACATGCATCTTGTCGCATCTGGATGGGTGTATCGTTTGCTGGATGGGTGAAATGTATGGTTGGCTCCCAATCCAGGGAGCCAACCAGATTGGGATGCATCTGGTCGCTTCTGGTCCAGAACAAGAATCCATAGACTACAACGAATAGATCTCAGAACAGCAATTTCGTCAAAATGGACATTTTTCATTTTTTGAACGAAATTGAAAACGACTAATTTGGCCCGAATCCGCCTAAGCCAGGTCAAAATTTTGACAAAATTGAGGGTCCGGCGTTCTTAAAATGCCAGACCCCCTGGTTGTATCTTGACTTATCTGGACTCCAGGGGGTCCAGCGTTTTAAGAACGCCGGCCCCCCTGCACGTATCTGGACTTAGCTAGAGTCCAGGGGGTCCAGCGTTTTAAATAACACCGAATCCTCAAATTTGTCAAAATTTTGACCTTGCTCGGGCGGATCCGGGCCAAATTAGTCGGTTTCAATTTCGTTCAAAAAATAAAAAAATGTCCGTTTTGACGAAATTGTTGTTTCAGAGAGATGTATTCTACTGGTCGAGCTACTGCAGAGAGTGCTGAGTGTGTCTACAATGTTAAAACTTGAAAATACAAAAAAACAGAAAAAAAAAATTGGATGGTACTGCGATTACAATGTACAAGTATGCGAGGCATCTGCAAATGTCACTATTGTCAGGGAAATCACGGAAATTTCCTAGCATCGTATACATCTCTTTACCATCACCAAACCTTTATCATAGGGTCATAGCCTCTCTTCATACGAGTACTCAAAATTTCACACTTCAAAGTTCAAACCATCAATCGTCAAGCTTTCAACTTCAATCTTCAACCTTTTTTTTTTTTTTTTTTTTTTTTTTTTTTTT